TTGTTTACTGCTAGCATCCGTATAACCGTCTATGGCAAAAATTGTATTTATTGTGAATTCGTTTTACTGCGTTTGACTCTTCGAGCATTGCTTTCTCGTAACGCTCAAGCTCGGTTTTTACGGCGTTTGGCGTATCCTTCATATTTAAAGTCTTGGTTGGTTGTAGTCAATTTACTAGTAGTCATGGTGGGTAAATCTGGTAAGTCTGCCCTAGGTTTTGATTTATCTTCTACCTGTCCCATACGTTTTCTATTTGTGAAACTTGATTTGACAAAGTTACAAACTGTGTCGACATATTTTGCACTTCGTCCATGCGCCTATCTGATTACTGCGTAATTTGTGGGTGTGGTTAACGTCAAATTATCAAGGTCAGATAATGGATCAGGTATTTCAAGTCCTGAAATTTCACCCGTCTCAATCATTTCTATCCAATAATTTGGTCTTAAATTTCCAATACTTAAGATTTGCTCTAAAGTTATTGGGGTATCTTGACTATCACGAATTTGAATTATTCGTTCGGCTATCTTACCCCCTGCATGTCTTATTTTTTTAAACTCTTCCGTCGTAGCGATTTGTATATTAATTGATTTCCCTACACCAGCCATGTTTGTTTGAATGTCAAAAGAGAAATGTTAAAACATCTCCGGACGGCGGAAATGTCGAATACAAGGTAATAACATAAATGACACCAAATGTAGCAGAATCGCTACATGGCAGAGGAGTAAGTACTCAACTCTGCTGTGGGTAAAGTATGGTGTTGGAAATGACAACAAGTAATAAGTTTACTTTATGTACACTTAAATACAATCAGGTTAAATAGAAAATCCGGTCGTACATTCAATGCAGCTCCTAAATCTGTTGTGTCTAACTGCACGCGTGGTTTGGTTTATATAGCCAGTCATCGGCTGCTGATTGGTTGAGCACGCACGTGCATTCATAACAACTACTGCACGTGTTTGGTCTCGTTCGGATACCAGTCTTCATAAATAGGCGGAGATTGCCGATGTGAACTCGTAAGCTTGTTGTACCAGTACCTGGATAATCAAGACTGTAAACAAGGGAGATCAACTTCCGTAACACACAGGGTGTATTCTTTTTGCTACACCGGAGTACTCCGGTTGACTCCGAATCACGAAAATGACTGTTCTTTTTAAAAATCCTAGTTCTCCGAATAAAAAGAACAACGCGGAGAGTTCTCCGAATTGGTCCGTTTCTCTCCGCCCCTTGACATGGCGGCAAACATGAGGTTAGTAAATAATTCACCACTTTTTTTTTGGTCTTGTGTGTACAAAACATTCATTTCCATGGGTTTTGTGAAAGAAAACAATTACACGGTTATATTCAGCAGTTAATTCCGAATTGTCGCTGCATGACATGAATCAGCTATATAATATGATTGCATATATATGAGCCTCTGAGTCTGAGTGCAATAGGTTATGCCAGAAGGGTCTATCTCAAACCATGGTTTGAAGTGTTGAGAAATAATAAACTTTCAAGGCTTACAAAACAAAATATTCTGTTTTGTACTAATTTGTAGATCACTGTATCACTATACAATGGTCACAGGGGCTCATAATAGGCCTATTAAGGCAAAATGATATTCTATTGTGGACTAGGTCCAGTCTATAGCCATAGGCCCTATTCTGAATTCTGATCATAATATTGTATCAATCCCTTGCCCTTGTCCAGTTAGGTATGAATGTGTGTGCATTTAAGTCACACACCAATTGTGAAAGTTATCTCTTATCTTAATTTCTTATTTTCTTTTTTATAGTAATCGTTCGGAAGCATCAGATAAATTGGTAAATTATCAAATTGTTTATGACGGTCAGGTTATCTCTGCCCTCCTAACAGAAGAAGATGGAGAAAAAATTTTGAATGGGGGTAAGTTACATTTACAATTGATCTTGTTATGATATCTGTCATAATAATCTGATAGAGATTTAGTTTATCAATACATAATCCATTAAAATATACCTTACATATTGTAATATTTCTTTCTATTTCTACAAACAATTTCGTTTCTGAGACTTTCATACGATTTGTCCAACAGATGGTGAATGTGATTGACATCTTTATAATATTTTTTCAAAAAATAAATTGACTTTTCAAAACTTTAATTGACTTATTGTGTATTTTCAGATCCAGATATGTTACAAGCTGTTATAAATTCAAAAGAAATTCAAAAGAAATTGAGAAACATGATCATGGTAAGTTCATTTTGAATTCACTAGCTACATTCATCATCCTATATATGTAGCATGCTGCTTAGTTTACAAAAAATGAACACAGAAAAACAATATTTGTTATCGAGTTATTGCCTTGTTCTTTAAAATATGTTCATTTCTCTGAGCTTACAAGCATTCTAGAAGTCACAAGTTATTCATATTTATTATCCTGCCATTCAAGCGGGTGTCTATTCATATGCTTATTCAAATTCTTAAAATCTTGCTTTGTGTTTTAGTACATGATAAACCATCCTGCAGTAGTAGTAGCACACCAATTAACTCTGCATCAACATCAAAAACTGAGCACTCAAATGAAACCACTAAAGGTATTAATTTTTGATCATATATGCTTCTATAAATTTAAAAGTTGCAGAGAGGCAAGTCACAACTGCAATAAAACTCTCTTAAATTATAGAAATATAATTTAAGTGAATATTTAAAAAATGAACGATTAACGTGCCAAATTGAACAAGCTGCCAAAGAAAATTGTGATACATCTATATACATATATTCATATTATATGAAGCTTTTAAATAATCTTTTTTAAATGTATTTATATTTCAGAAAGTGATTGGACGCCTAAAAACACCCGTTATCTAATATCCTTGGTTCGTCCAAAGTTGTATACTGAGGAAGGCGAAAAGTTGATTTGTAAGTCAGGAATATGGAAGGAAATAAGCTTAAAATTAAAACAAAATGGCCACATTCACAGCAGTGAAAGATGCAGGGGAAAGTGGAGGACATTAATAACCTCGTATAAGAAAATATCCGACTCAAATAAACAAAGTGGAGAAAATTTAAAAACTCACGAATTTTTTGATGAGTTGTCATTTTTAGATAAAAGTGCGGATGTTGAACCTGCTTACATTTTAGAGTCAAGTAAAGATTGAAAAAATAGAAAATGATTCTAAAAGTGACGATGATGAACAAGCACCATCACTTCATAAAAAAAGTAAAAAAAACTACCAAAGGGAGAAAATCAACAGTTGATTCGGTAATTGACTACTTAAAAGAGCAGAAGAAAAAAGCAGAGACAGGAACAACATGATCAAAAGATAGCTTGCCAGGCAAGGTAACACACGCCCACTGGCAGCTGTCAGAAATGATTAAACAGTCTTTAGTGACTACAGGGTTGCACAATATAGCTAATAGAGTGAAACGCCAAGTCAGATACGATATTTCGGTGAAATATTATCCGATCATCGCGAAAATCGATAGGGATCATCTTCATAATAACGTTGACATACAAAATAAAAATCAAAAGAATCTGTAAAAATTGTAGCCTGTAGAGTGAGCACGAGTTGCACAATATAGCTAATAGAGTAAAATGTCAGGTCAGACACGATATTTCGGTGAAAAATTATCCGATCATCATGAAAATCGATAGATCATCATGAAAATCAATAGGGATCATCTTCATAACGAGATAGACATACAAAATAAAAATCAAAAGAATCTGTAAAGAATTGTAGCCTGTAGAGTGAGCACGAGTTGCACAATATAGCTAATAGAGTAAAACGTCAAGTCAGACACGATATTTCGGTGAAAAATTATCCGATCATCACGAAAATCGATAGGGATCATCTTCATAATGACATTGACACACAAAATAAAAATCAAAAGAATCTTTAAAAAATTGTAGCCTGTAGATTGAGCACGAGTTGCACAATATAGCTAATAGAGAAAAACGTCAAGTCAGACACGATATTTCGGTGAAAAATTATCCGATCATCACGAAAATCAATAGGGATCATCTTCATAACAACATTGACATACAAAACAAAAATCAAAAGAATCCATAAAGAACTGTAGCCTGTAGAGTGAGCACGAGCCAAATGTGAACGGACGGACGGACAAACGGACCGACGGGGTGATTACAATATACGCCCATCTTACGTGTGGGCGTATGAAAATGGAACTAATGGCATCTCTCGTCAGGGCAATTACCCCTAAAAATGATTAGATTCGAAAAAGGTGTT